CAGTTTCGGAAGACAAATAAGAGTAGACGAGAGGACTAGATTATTTATATTATAGTAAAGCACTCAGTTTCTAAGATGAAGGATGCCTTTGTGGAGAGATTTTTAATGGAAACTGGTTGGTATTCAAACTACACATAAGGAAAGTTGCCGTTCGCTAAGATTAGAAGCCGTATTGAACAAAGTGTTCATCAGTCCTGGTGGGTTTCCAAGGCCAAAAGGTTACTTGTTTCTTGGTTTCAGGACACTCAATTGCTACTGAACTGCTGCTTTTTTTATTATTATCTCAAAACCTAGCTGTAAATGATTAGATAAGATAGCTCAACATTTCAATTCACCCCTGGATTCAATCCTGATAAAAGGGCTGACTGCTTGGAGACTTGTGGTTTTCCTCTATGTATGTGCAAGGTGAATATGAGCCAAATATTCTTTAAAAAGTCATCCTCCTGGAAGGCATCCCTTCTTTTAAGCAGATAACCCTACAGTGGGTCATACCAATTAACCTTATTAGCATGGAAATTGCATTTATCTTCATAGTATAATTAAAATTGTTCATGTTACCTTTCAACATTTCAAATTACCACTCTTTACGCTAAAATCAGTTATTTATATTAACATAAATGCTTTTACGTTCAGAACTAGTTCCAACTTCATTGGGAAGCATTTTAACACATTAATTCAAAGCTTAATCCCAATACTTAGAATTTCATGATAAAAGTCTATTGCTCTTGAAGAAAAGAAATCGATTTTCATTTGAAGAATACTAATTCTGTAGATCAAATGTGCAAGTCATAACCCATGCATTATAATCAATAGCTGTTTTTTTTTAAATAAAAAACATAAAAAGCTAATATGTCTGACCTCATTAACTAATTTCGCTTATAGGATGTTGTTGAAAATATTAACTAGAAACTGGCGGTATTTTTATGTATTTATGTCACGCAAGATGTAAGAAGTTGCAAAAATTTCTACGTTGAGTTTTCTGTTTCACAGAATTTAATATTATATTAAATGTAGCATAATTATTAGTTTTACTTTTTGCTAATCTGAGCATTTTATAAGAATTTAGATATTAGAGGTTACATAAATCATACATTGATATCCGATGTATATTCCTTTTTCGTCATCTTGCACTTATCTTTAAGGCACATAAATGGTATTTGCTATCGCACGAATTCAGAGAATTGCTCAGCATTTTAGACTTACGCCGTTTAATTATAATTGTAATGAAAATAACCGTATTGCTATCTAAATCGCACTTTTCGAATAATAGATGATGTTTGCCTTTTAAAATGCAGTTTTAAAAATCTTACTGCTTACGGGACTGCTTTTTGAAGAATATACTGATTGATTCATGTCTTAATCGCCCTTTTTTTTTTCTTTTTTTCTTTTTTTTTTTTTTTTTTTTTTTTTTTTTACTGAAAAAAATAACATGTACTTATTTTAAATTCGCATTACATTCTTAATAACTGAATATTACTTAGACCATTTAATTATCATGAGTCAAAGGAAAACTTAATTATTTATTATGGGGAAAGTAAGAAAACACGGAAAAATTGAACTTACATCACTTTGTGGCATAGTCCCCATGACCTGCACTGCAAGTATTAAAACGCTTCGGAAGTGCATGGATACCTCATGAAGAGACCTATTTTTCACGACTAAAGCCACTCGTACGCTGCGGCTTTCCTCGCTTTGAAAATGATTGCTTCTCATCTCGTCTTTTAACAGTCAAAACACATGAAATTTACTAAATGCGATGTCTAATTAATAAGGTGGATTTATGAGACATTCAAATCTCATATTCTGGATTAGTGCAATCTTTAAATGCGCAGTATGTGGGCGTACAGTTACAATAGACCTGAAATCAGAAAACTGGCGTTTACTCTTGATTACAAGATAATTGCGAATTCAAGGCAAAGGTCTTCAAAAAAATGGTGATTTGGGGTTTTTTCATTTTCAAATTCTCTATACTTTTAGCTTTCTAAAAATACCATTCTTTAATCTCTATGAAAAATTAGAACTGTAAAAAAATATGATTTTAATTTATCAGCGAATGCTTAGATCAATGAGAATTTTTATATAAAAATAGGTTTTACTCCAAATGTGATTTTGTTATACTCGATGTACCTTTTCTCAGGAACTACTGCTCGCAGGTATGTAAATTTTTTATGGCTTATTTATTATGTTTCCTAATATTTACTGAAATGAGCCTTTTGTGATAAATTTGGGAGAAAAGTGTTAAATTTTACGCTGCCAAATACAATATTTTATAAATTGCTCTCAATTTAAAATCTTTCAAAAGCTCATTTCAATATAAGCAGATAGGTGTATTTTAATTAAACAAAAATTTCAAATGCGTATCTACAGCAGATTTTGAGAAAAGGTACATCGAAAATGGCTAAATTAACATTTTCGGTATAGGGGATTCAGGCTCTCTCAAAGCAAATCTCCATAAGAAGTAGTGACCACTGCCACTCCATTTTCCATGTAATATTTCATAAGTTATCCCATTTGCATTCTTGAAGGAAGTGAGAAAGTCTTTTTCCGCTAACGTGATGAATTTCTCCGCAGAAGTGACACCACTTTTAAACATTTTACATCGCTGGCATATTTGCTGCAATTAAACACATTAAAAACGCGTCACAGACTGCTGCTCTTAACACAATCGACAGTCTAAGTCGACAGTGGTGTGGCCATATTTGCACATTATGCTGCCTCTTTCTTCGCGGATACTGCATCATATTTCCACCTGCTGATCATTCTTTGAGCCCCAAGATTAACTCTTGTTAATTTACAAATCAGATATTTTAGAATTTAATCGCACTTTTTTTTAAAGTTTTAATTTGAACCACCTATGTATTCTCGTCGAACATTTCCAACATACGAAACTCATTATGTTAAGTCGTCTTGTACGGACTAAAATCCTTTACCATTCTCAAGATGTTTATTTTTTTCATTTATCGATTAATAGCGTCAGTGAAAATCTGACATAATTGCTAAGAATTGATAAGATATTTCACTTATCTTTAATATTATAGAAGTGCATCACTGAATACAGTTTTAGTCATTTGAAAAATCATTTTATTCGTACTTTTTGCAATCGCTTACTACAAATTGTGTTTTATAACATGAATGTTATAAATAATGCAGGTTTCTTATGATTGGTGGCTTGCTTAAGTTCTGACTTTAATTTTTAGGTGTACATTTCCTCCGTATTCAGAATAAAATTTAATGATTATGATCGAATTTTATACTATCATAATGATCGCAAAACTATGTATTTCTATTTCATAGTTTGATCGAAAGCAATGTAGTTTTTTAATATTTTTGCATTTTTATATCATTTCGTTTTTAAAATACAAGCGGAACTTTTAAAAAAATAAAACTCACTTTGAGTTGACAGCTTTAAATTAAATGATGCATTCTTTTATTGTGTAATTAAAATGGATTTCTTAAAACTAAGTACTAATATAAAAAACAATAACCGCTAAAATAAAGCTGAATTAAAATTTTAATTATTCTTTAAAGGATTTCTAGGGCATTTGAAGTAAATTTTAAATTAAATTTAATATATATTTTATATATGTTTTTCATGTCTTTACTTCGAGCAAAAGTAAATACTTAAATTAAAATTTATTTACTAATACTATACAATTTTCACAATAAGATCGGATATTATTAAGTCAACATCTCAATAAAAATATTCCTGCGAACTATTCCAAACTGTGTAAAATATATTTTTTATACTTGTGATTTTCCGTTGTTAACAGGGATTTTATATATAATAGCGATTATACAGCGTATTAATGATATTTTTTAATACGGCTAACTGCGTGGCAAATTATATAATTTTTAATGCACGGCGACAGGAAACTTAAGCTACTCAACAAAAAGATGACCTCTAAATTCAGCCACACATGAATAATTAACATACATGAATAATTACCTACATTATGTTTTGGGATCATTAAGTATTAAGGTAATATGATTATTCTGCACTAGCATCTGCTTATACACTGACTACCTAGAAGAGAGTGAAAACTTTTGTAACGACCTAGTTTCTCAGCTGCCATTTAAACCTTGTACCTTGGTGTTCCGGGTACAGTCTGTTCTTAATCACTGAGCTATCCAAAGTCACCTCGTATATTTTCTACTTAAAGATTGAACTCGAACTTGATGACATGACCTATTGATTTAAGAGCCTTAATTCCATAAGCTAATTGCGTTTTTCACAACCATGTACTTTTTAAAATTATCACTTTAAATCAGAAATGTAAATATTTGAATATCTTATTGAATTACAATAGAAAACTCAAGTGGCATCCACAAAAATTTAAAAAATATATTTACAATATCGAAGAACTAAAAATTAATTTTTTTAGAATACCGAAAGAGATTAAATGTTCTTTTTTTTACCTTAAAGAAATATTTACCCGTGAAGCTTGGCTAGTTCTGAAATGTATTGTCATTTCACTTTCTGTAGCATTCTAACTTTACTTTTATAACTCAGCGATTTAAAAGTAATATGTATACTTTTATTATGTATAATTTTTAATAACTTACTTTTTAAAATTTTTAAATACTTTAACACTTACTTTTGATAACTTTTAATTTTTAAATTTTAAATACTTTTAAAAATTGTTTAGTTTTTCACGTAACTTATAAATATATCTAAATGATGCGATTTGTTTTATACTTACTATTCCTGCTTAATATTTTAATAATAACTTTAAGTGATGTGATTTATACATCTAACTCGTAGAATTTTTTTAACAATTTGCACCGTTATTTAATTTTTTTAATAATGCCAATACCTAAAATCACTATAATCTATCTGAAAGATAATTTTTATGAACTTTTGCATCATTATTTTAATTTGTTAAAGATAATTCTAATGTAGTTTACTACGCACATGCTTTTAGTATAATTGCTATTCTGCTCCTAGCAAGGTATTTTCGTTACAATATACATTCGTTACAATAGTGGAACGATGCACTCACCAAAGAAAGGGTTCAGTAAAGAGAAGAGCCGAATCAGAGAGATATCCAGTTTAGTCAACAAAAATGTTAATCTATAAAGTAGCATGGGCGAACTACAAAAAAAGGATAACTCTTCCAAAACCTCATGGAGGGATTTCTGTTCCAGCGTTCGCAGTTCTTTCAGCCTGCAACAAAAAATTGCGTGTGATAGGATTTTTCGAAGTATGTAATTCACTGCCCTTGCAAATCAACAGTCGGTTTCAAGTTTACAGATAATAAGACACTACTCTTGACACTACCTTTACAGAATAGGGTGCAGAAGACAAGGATCAACAACAAAGGATACTGAGGCAGAAGTCTGAATTTGACTGCCGAATTCTAGTACTAAAGTTTCCCCCCAACCAAAGCTGAAGTGACTACTGTGCAAACACAGGTCAGAAAAAAAAGCCCCATGTGCTCAATAGAGAAATTGTAAAGAAGTTGCATGCCTTTTCTGAATTACTCTACTCGCTTTATTATAAAAGTGTCCTATTTTGGAGAATAGCACAGTTTTCTAGAGGCATGAAAAAGGCAGAAATAGTACTTCTCGTGAAGTCAAATCAAGATTCAAAGAAATACTCTTACAGACTAGTGAGCCTATTCCCTGTAATAAGCAAGCCCATAAGCAAGGCAGTTAGATAATTTATTTATGGATTAAATTATCGCCTACATGAGCATGGGTGAATGCATCAGAATCAATATGTTTACTCTAAGGGAAAATCTACGTACTTAGCCATTAATTCTCACGAAAACGGTCAAAAATAACAGAAATCAGGACAAAACACAGCCATAGTCTTAACAGGCATAAAAAGCTTTTTATACTTTATGGTGACCAGATACTGCCTAAGGAAAGAAACCCACCCATGAGAAATTCTGTGCTTAATCAGAATCTTCTTCGAAGACAGGCATAATCAATACTCTTTGGCTGAAGGGATACTTCCTAAGAAACTGACAAGAGGATGTTCTCAAGGTTCGTGCTTAAGGCCAACCTTGTGGAACATCATTTCCAAAATTACTTTTTAAGACTTTATAGGGGTATAAAATTCCAAAATTGTAACCTTCACTGAAGAGTTTGTCTTCATTACGACCGGGAGAAAAGATATCGAGGAAATACCTAGCAAAATCTTGATATTTTTGCCAACTGAGCCAGAACTCATAAGCTCAAAATCTCTTACCAGTAAAGCTCAACTTATGCAAATAGGGCGAAAGGGAGTTTTAAAACGCAGCCAGTTTTAAACTTGTGAGATGTTCTATCAAGTGTGTTTCAGAATTAACTTTGGAGTTACATTTGATAACATATACATTTGATTGTTTCTGTTGTAAATATTTGTTTGTATATAATCGTAAATTCTGTATTTCATTTGAGATGTGTTCTATTAACCTCTTACAACTATTTTTATAACATCTTACAAATATTTGTAAAATTTGTATTTAATATGTAACGCGCTCTATTAACCTTTTGCAACTCTTCAATAATGTGAATCATTAGTAATGTCCAACAAACAAGAAATGCAACTACTGTATTAAGTAGCTCATAACAAGCAGCTGTAATTAACATCCAATGTATATTATTATACAGCAGAAAATGTATATTATTATGAATAAAAATCTCTATGTAAAATTGTATATATATGTTGGTTCTGTAGCCCTTTGTATCTTGCTTGCTTACTGTAACCACGGAAAGAATTAGTGTATTTCAGATGACATCAACCAAAAATGATAATTACAGAGAAGAATCATCTAATCTTAGGATCGGTGGTCATACTGGTAGTGTTAGCGTGGCATTCTCCCTTAAAAATGGAGTGCAACTGCACAAATAACGTGGCGTGATAATGCCTGTGTGACCAATAGTGAAATTTGGCTGTCTCACCCACTTTATCTGTGTTCCAGTGATAGCTGTATGGTGGTTAGAAGGCGGACAGGTGAGCGCTTGGAATCAAGCTGTCTGGAGCGTAGACACATTGAACTTACATCAGGAGTCTAGGGAGCAGTTTCCTATGACAGCAGAACTCTCGTCGTTATCCCGCACACCTTGACAGCAAATTTATACGTCAGACTGTTGATTGTACTGGTTGTGCTATCATTTTTGAGCAATATTCCAGGAGCCTTTTTCGAACACTATAAAGATCGTCCACATATTGCTGCTATCACAAAATATGCTCTACAGACTTCACCAGGAGGTAGGGGACACCCAGACCTGGCAAGCTCTATTGGCTTCCTTTACACAGTTAAACGCCCCTAGCCCCTAGAGGCGGTCCAAGGCGGCATAACCCCTCGGCCAAATCCAGGGGGAAATTTTTGCTTCACTAACTCTGGTTTTTGAATCACAAGTCAGTAGTGGACGGCTACGCATCCACCACAAAGAGCATGAAATAACAGTTAGACATCGACTAGCGCTGACCAAGGGGAGCCAAACCCTCAAGGACAACCTTTGATATAAAACCAAGTAACGTCCACGCAACCAAGGGGCACTACAAGACACTACCAGTACGGTCCCTGCCAAGCCTGAACCTACCACGGTACAAACGATGGTTCTAGTCATTGTGAAGACTGCTAATTTTTCTCCAGAAGTCGAGTCTGTCTAGATATTGACCTAGCCAGAGCACCGGGATTGCTCCCGGTCGACCATCGACATGTTGCCTTGGACTGCGAGATCACCCTAGCTTTCTCTCACCGCTTACGCACGGTATATAACTGGACGGCAAATCCAGCGTCATCTATAACCAGCATGGTCCACTGTTGGTTTGGTAGAATAAGTTCAAAAAAGTCAGGGAACACCATCTCACAAAATGACATGCAGCACCTGTACAACAAAATGCCCGCGCGTTTGCAAGTTTGCATTCAATATCATGGCGAACAAAGTTGTTATTAACGTACCACTATTTCACGTTTAAAATTGCTCTTCTCGGGAATGGTTTAACTTGTGACCTTGAAACATAATCAAATAAATGCGCTCTCTAGACAAATGCTTTGCTTACATTTCATTCCTTTAAAGTGATTTCTTCTTAGTGCATATTTTAAACTTCCTTTTCCGTCAGTCCATATTTTAAATATTTTGTTGTTGCATGCAAAAAGAATTTATGATAGTCTAATTCCAGAAATGACTGAGGTTTTTTTAGAAGTAAAAGCGTAATCTTCAGCTCATACATTTAAAAAAATTTAAAACATTAAAAAAATATTGTAAGCAAAAAAATAACGTTAGGAAATATCAGAACAAAGAAGTGAATCCTACCGCAGCATCTAATATATAAATTCTAACTGGAAATTTGGTAACTCTGCAAATTTATGCTAGTTCATTTAAATAATATCTCTAGCAATATTCCTTGCCGGTCAACAAATTGAGAAATTCAGAGAGCTCTTTAATTTTTCCTTGATTTTCTTAAAGATCTTTTTTTAGCAAACGATAGTAACACATTATCTACCAGTTTAAACGGAAGATTTAAAAGCATGTACATATTACTTGAAAAGTTTTATTTTTTATTTTATTTCCTCTCTTTTAAATGCAGTATATTTCAATGTAAAAAATGAACCAGTTGAAAACACAGTCTTACAGTCTTACTTCTTAAAATTTTATAACAATAACATCAAAGAAGTCGTAATTTAATTATGAGTATAATTAACTTCCTGATTCCTGATCATACGTGACTAAAATGTAATTATGAGGCTGCTAACAATGACCGAGATTTTATCTCAAATTTGTCAAAGATCTATTTAAGCAAAATGAATGTTACCATTTTTACTAGTGCCATTTGTGCAGTACCACCTCTACTGTTCGTTGAAATTCTGCTAACATGTTGTATGAGTAACCTACCATTTTATTTTGAGTGTTATATATAACCAACAGTATTATAATAGTTGAAAAAAATATTTTTTATTTTTAGTGTATTTAATTAAAATTATGTTACTTGACAACTCATTTATACATATTTGGTTTCATGTTTTTTGTTTCATTGAATAGCGTAAAAATGACAAAGAAGGAAAATGATCGCTTCTGAACATAGAAAAATTATTCTTTCTCAGAACAGCAATGAAATATACACAACATCCTCATTTTGCCCCCAAGATCCTTCGATCTATCCAATGGCACAAGATCATATTTAATTCATACTGTATCATTCTAGGTTTATTAACTCACCATCGAATTATTTTATCTTTACTGCCATTCTGCTTTCGTCGGCTCCCTCTAGAATGCAAATTAGCGTATATAGTAACGGAATTGTTAAAGTTAAGAGTACTCTCTTAACAGCGATTGCTAGCAGTTTCTGAACTATTTTAGTCCAGCTCTTAGATTTGCATGAATTTAGTCTTTGTTAGCTGTGTTTTCCTTACGTGATTAAAGGGTCTGATACAATATGATTATATACAAGCTTACAATATGATTTTTGCAGTGTGATTTTATACTTTAATTGCTTAAGTTACCTTAACTTTTTTCTTATATTAAATCCGTGTGACTTGTTCTGTTAATTACACGAGCCCTGTAAGTTGCTAAGTTCTAATAAAAAGACTTGAAAGAAGTTGAAGAAGGTTTAAAGAATTTAAACCTTCTTCTCAATTCGGACTTACTTTCACCGGAAAATTAACTCATGGTCGTCGGAACCAGAATTTAATATTAAGGTAGACAAGTTCCGAATTTTTGTTTAATTTGAAAATCTCATGTCATCATCACTTTAAAGTTAATATAGAATTGAAGTGTTTGATTTAAAAAGCCATCATTATTCGGAATCAAGCACTAACAAAATTTGAACGTCTTTTTAAAAATCTTCACAATTCGGGGAACTATTTTAAAAATTCCCAAAGAACTTTATTCGGAAGAGTTTTTTTTTTTAATCAATTGGTGCAAAGATTAAAATTGTTCAATAATTAGTTTGATTGTTAGGCAAGAGTATACTAGAAAAACTCAGCTCGAAAAGAATCTGAAACGAATTTTGAAAAAATTGCTACGAAATACTATTTTGTCATCGAAAATACGCAAATTTTTCACAGGAATACCCTAAAGAAGGAGTCACAGATTAATTTAAAAATTTGACTTAGCCAAATAAATAGAGAAATCTTGTACTAAGTATTCAGTATACTATACAAAATGGAAAACAACACGAACAAAAACAGATACAGAAACATAAAATTATGTAGCCTCTGACCATGTGATTTTCTTGTCTACTGCTCATGGTAGTGAGGGTACGATGTAGCTACTTGTAAGCTTTGGAAAGAAAAACTAAATCTCCAGAAAATCCATTGTCTTAAATTAGATAACTAGGTAAATGAATATAATGCATATTTATTCTTAATAACGTTTAAATCCATTTATTTCTAATTTTAACTGCCATACGTAATTCCCATAGGATACCAGAGATAAAAGTATCCAAAATGCCGCGTTTGTAGTAAATTGGATCAATGAAATTTTATTATAATCAGAATAGAAGTACGGCTATAGAATAGGAGTGTTTGAAAAATTATGTTGGTAATTAAGCAATCGTCTTTTATGTGACTGTTCTGCTTTGCACAAAAGGCGCTAAACCTGCAAATTTAGTTCTGTTACGTACAATAAGAAATATCGTAATATTAATATAAATAAAACAGAACTTCGTAATGCCTCTTAAGAAGTTCCAATGAATTTCAGAGCAGTGTTCTTCTGAGAAGTGTTTATTTATTTTTTTATCAGATGCATTGTGTGACTATGTACCTTATAGAAATATTACGTTATTTAAGACATGAAAAGCAAGAGACATGAAATGTGCGCAAACTCGAACAACGGACCTCTCGAATATGCGCCGAGTGTGCTGACCACTACCCTACGAAGCCATGTTAAGAAGGTGAGAGAAATAAAAGAAGAAATAAAATTTAAAGGGCGACTATTGAATCCAATTGCCAAATCCTGGTGGTGGAGAATCATCATCCACCACCTTTTTTTAGTTCGTAGTACTGTAGAGATATTAGGTTATTTTGAAGCAGGAGTAATGAAAATTGAGCAATACCCCCGACAGACTCAAACCACGGACCTCTCGAATATGCGCCACGAAGGCATACTAAGAAGGCGGGAGAAACACCTAACAACCTGAACAGTGCAGAAATATAGCAGCACGGTGAAAAATTACAGCTATGCAACGCATAAATGTACGACATCAACGGTTAACTCAAAATCGCGGTCAATCCGAAGGTAATAAAAAAACATAGGAGAGAGAAATAATCCATATTATGATTAACAGAAAAATACTATTCACAAATTAATCTGTACTTTCAAGTGGTTTAAACTTAAGAATAAATTCATTCGATTGCGCCAATTTAATTAATCTTTTGGTTTTGAATAAAACCTGAATTTACTGGAAAACAGAAGATATAACACTATTAAAAGAGACAAAACTTATATTATGATTAAAATAAACATTGTATTAGAGAACAATGCTTACTTTAATATTACTCTTAATATCATTGATTTTAAAGACGCGTAAAGCTGAATTAAAACTTTATTGTTCAAAGTTTATGGATCTCGTGTACAATTAAATTACACTCTATTGTGGATAAAAATAACTCCCGAATACTCTGAATTTATGCTATCACTGCTGTTATTCTCCAAATTTTGCCTTTTATGTATTTTCTGTAGAGAATTTTCTTTTACTCTGATGTAATAGTAATTTTTCCACCATTCCTCAATAAACAAACTTAAAGTCCCGTTAATCCTTATTGGTTAATCGAAATTTAACTGCATCTAGTAAACATTCGTTGTACGATAAAATGTTCCTTTAATATTTTCGCGAGTATATAAGCTTTAATACATTCACTTGCTATCCTGGAGTATTCGGGTACCTCAACAACTTCTGTTGAGAACAATTACAGTATCGAAGTACATTAAATCACGTGACTAATAGGCTTTATTTCATAACAGAAGCAGAAAGCAGTGAAAGCTAGAGGCTCGCATTTAACAAAATCTCTTAGTAAATATTTGCTATTTTAGTAAATGATAGCTGGATGTTCCTGAAGTCTTAAAAATTTTCCCTTCACATCTTATGAAAAGACATTTCTTACCTTTGTTTGGGGCATTTCTGTAGAGGATGATTGAAACCACTTTCTCCATCGCAAAGCCTCCATCCCATCGGTGGCTGGACATGCTTGTGTGCTGAGTGACCCCGATCCTTAACGAGCGGTTTAGGTCCGAACGGACTAGTTTTTTCTGCTCCACCGATCGCGGCGAAAGTCATTGCCGGTCGCCACCCATTTCCCACCACACCCACCCCAGACAGCAATCATTGTCAGCAGTGGACGTTTTACAAAATAGAAAAGTTGAAAATCTAAAAGCAAACCTCTGTACAATGCCAGCTATTATCAGATTACTATTTTTTTAAGCACATAGTTATTTATCGGATTATTGATTTCAATGCCATTTTTGCGTTTGTAAAAATTAGAAACTACCGTTGTCATTTACTGGCTACCATTATGCATATCATTTGCTGGCTGTAAGTCAGTATGCGATATAGCTCGATTTAGTGTTTTAAATTAGATCCGATATCAACATTTGCAAATATCATATTGCATGAAGATGGAATTCGAAAATCCCGTAGTGTCTTTAATCTATCACTAACTTTTCAAGCCTCAAAAGCATACTGGAATGAAGAGGAAAATGGCTGTTCTTAAAGTTATAATTAAGTCAGATTTATTAAAATTTACTTATTTTTAATACGTTTCGTTCTTTCACAGAGTGGCAGATTTTCATTTTGAGTAGCATATGACTTATTTAGAATTACTTGTAAGAAATTATCGCTGTCTTCCCACGCGGATTACCGTTGTGTAGCTGGTTTCACGTTTCACTAGTTATCAGAATATTCGTGGTTCGAATCTCGACCAAGGCACAGTTGATTTTTCGTGATTTCCGCTCCGAAAACCTAACAGTTTTACAACTGCGCCCGGCTGAAATAATGAAATAAGGTGGACGATGATTTGTCGCCACCTAGATTCTGCTGATTATATCTCCTTCCTCGCTTCGCAGTTGCCTTTTAATTGGGGAAAAATGTATAGAATTATCGCCATCACTCTGACTACTATCGAGGTGTAACAAGTAGCAAGTCCAGCTAACAATCGAAAGATCCGTAGTTCGAGTCTTGTCAAGGGATTGCTCATTTTTATTCATTCTTGCACCCCCCCCCAAAAAGTCTCTAAAATTTCACTTTCAAACTATTCCCTTTTTACTCAAATTGAAACAATAATTAGCAAATATTCCTATTGTAAGAGAAGAACCTGTAGGTGTAATTAGCTACTTTGTGAAAGTTTTTCCATGACTATGTATAAGCTTTCAAAGAAAGCCACACTAGACACCTCGTACAAGATATTTTAAAATAATATTCGCGAAGAGCACTTCTATTCACACGCCCATCCAAAATTTAAGTATAAAAGACAGATTCTCGTACACTTCTTCTTCATCAACATCTTCTTATCTGGACATGGTCCTTTCTCCACAAACTACTTTGCACGAAATTTGAGCGATTCAGACAAGTGCGTATGTGGGGAAAAGCGAGACCCAGAGCACTATATTTTCAAGTGCCAGCTCACAAAAGAGCTACACTGCAAAGAAAGGTCACAAATTACGCCTGAGTACATTAAATGCTTGCTAACGATCCCTCAATTACAACAAAAGGTTTCCTTGATTATGAAAAACCTTTTCTGATATAAAAGAGAAGACACATGTCAAGATGTTATCACATGTGTATAAATACCTCTTATTCCATAACTTGCAAAAATAATGCAAGATTTCAGAAATATTGCAAATATCTGAAACAGGCTAAATATGGTATGAATAGTTTTTACAAAATAATTACATTATTAAGAATTTGGACTTTATTAGGAGATGAGGGGGGGGGAAATCTTGTAATAATTAAACAATTAAATAAACATTAATTAAAAAATAATATACGACTCTATTAGATATATTAGTGTAAATGTAAGTATTATGTGATTTTCTTATGTATATTTTCTGTGTTTATGATACATTAATTTACAAAAGTAATAATGTAAGACTTCAGTGCTGATGCAATTGTGTGTAACAAGTTAAAAAATGAAAGGAAATGTATTATTAGGATAATTCGCCTTAGGAATACAACTAAGTACAATGAGATGCACAACAAAATTCTTCCCCAATTAGTTCCTTAAAAAGATGTTTAGAGCAATCCGATGTAATTAGGTATACTAATGTAAATATATTGTTTGTATGAAGTACAATGTTCGATGTACAATGAAAGTTTGTATGATGTATGTTCGAAGTAATTATGTTATATTAATTTGCCATAATCCAACTTTTGTTAATAGGTTAATTTCTTTGTAATAATTGTATACTGTATCTTTGTAACTGTATATTCAATACGTAAGTCTAGTATTGATGTGAAATTACTATGTAAATGTCTTGGTAGGCCAGCATCCGATGCGGGCCAACCAAATGCCCAGCAGGGTACAGTAGTGCGGCGGAACAACACCTGTAAAAGTCACTGACGAAGTTCTCGTGCTCCGTCCACTTTTCCTGTCCCTGTCCCTGATATGAGATATTCAAGTATCAAAGTAGTGAAAAGCTATTGGCTTTCTGTTAAACATTCAAACTAGGTATATTGTGAAAATTCATTAGATAAACACTTGAATACATACTCGTAAAAGAATTAAATTCTCAGGGAAAATCTTTTTTGGGTACTGAAAGTTGAATCAATGAAACATTCTTCCAAGATCTGTTGAGCAATTAGGGATTATAATATCATCTGGTGATCAGTTAATAGTATTACTGCCCAAAGGTAATCCTTGATCTATAGCATCAGCTATCAGAGGCACTGTATCTCTCTGAGAAAGCAGATATACATTGGCAAAGTAAACTGGAAAATATACGTGAAGCATTTCTCGGCACGAGAGCCAAAATTTGCTTAAGTTTTATAGCAAGAGAAGCAACATTAATGTTATAATTAATGTTTCAGAAAATATATTTGTTTTTTATTATAAAGCTTGTTATTGTTTTTTATTATAATTTATGTTCATATGTTCGTTTCAGGAATATTTTTGTGGTGTTCCGAGAAGAGTTTCTTTGTCCATCTGTCACTTCTAACCATCCTCTATAAGGTATGAACTGCCTTCATACAGAATGGCAATCTAACCTGTCCTTCCCAAAATTTCCTAAGGGATATTCACATTATCCAAGCTCGTAAGAATAAGTAACTCAAATACATTTTCTTAAAAGTTTGAAGATAGCTCATGAATTATACCTAATTTATTTCGTGTTTAGCTGTTGGAGAGCCCTATACATTTATTATAGCTTATTTGATTATGATAAAATATTATGATACAATCTTATTTGAAAATAAAGGGTTATTTACCCATCCATCTTGTTGTTTCTTGTCACACGAACTCAAGCGATTATTCGCTTATCAGTTCTTAAGATTCTTCACTTCCAGCAGTAACTTAGAATTACACAGTGGGGAATCCTACATTATAATCGTATATACATTGATGTCAGGACGATTGTGGTAATACAAGTGGAAGAAGCACTGGCAATACTAGTAAAAGGATTCCAGCTCTGCAATCCTTCAGAAGAATAAAAACAGCACTGTAGCTGAAACAATACTACAGCTTGCTTTTGCTCCTTCGGGTGTAATTCAAAACTTCAATTTTAGCATGCACAACTGCTTAAAGATGGTGTGGTGTATTTAATTATGGCAAAGCACACTAGGGCTATCTGCCTAAGAGGAGGGATGCCTTTCGTGGAGGACTTTCTAAGGGAAACTGGCTCGTATACACGTTACACATGGGGAAAACCACGAAAACACCCATACAGCCAGCCCGTTCGCGGGATTCGAACCTCGGACCGAACTACCAGTGTTCAGCGACTTTACCGCTCGGCCGCTGGTGGGCCCGACTGCTTAAAGACTATATCTCTATTTTCGATTAAGTTAAATTATGGTTCTTCTAGTGCCACACAGACATGATCAGCCATATCCTTACGGCTGTCGTAGTTTTCGTGACAATCGGCATAACTACCTCTTCCATAAGTTTCGCACAATATGATTTCACCTAATATATTATAGAACAGGGACGAATAAATACTTTTAATTGCGGACCAGAAAGAAAATCTTTCTTCGTGAATCATGAGAGCAAGGTCATCGCAAAATGCAATGGGGCTTGTGTGACAGTCTTTAGCAGTTACCCTACGATCTCTCTTCATGCGGGTCAATCAATTAAATATGAAGTAATTATGATCAGTATATATATGTGCATGTATACTGTAATAGCAAATGCACTCTCATGTGCTGATTCTGATAGTTTGCATACAAAATTATGTAGTAAAGAGATGAAAATGGTGTTGCACGAGATTTCATTATAGACTGGATTTGACAATTATTTGACAAAGGGCTGCATGCGGCCCGCAGGCCCCCTACCTCTGTTTGTAGAAGAATGACACAAGATGTAAATTTCAAGGTAGTCAAACACCTGTAATGAGACTTTCTGAACAGTGTTACTTCCCAGAATTTTTAGGTTGTAAGGATTATGTTAATTTTATTAACAGTTAAATTTTAAGTTAAAGTTCCTTTCCTGTCAAATTCTTAACTTCAACTTACTACTTCCGGCCAGAACGTACTTTTGGAATTTGCTGAATATTTAATGAGAAGGAGCGGTATTTAAACCACGAAGTTACTTACCGAGAGAGAGAGAGAAACAGAGTTTCTGAACTACGCGCGTCTGCCTTTTTGGCCGCTCTCTCTCTCAAAGCTGTTATACGCTCGGCCGTACTCAGGCCCTTGCTAAGCTTCGTAGTAAAATAGGTTAAGGGGCCAACTCTCATTGTACCTTGATAGCTTTGGCTATACTTAGTTAATCTTAGTTTTAGTTTAATTCTTAGTCCTTTAAGTTCAAGTCCAAAGTGCGGACTTTATTTGTTCACTCCCAGGCGGAGTTTTGTGAAATCTTATAGAAATAATAAAGGGTTATTTACCCTTCTCTCTTGTTGTTTCCTGTCTTCGAACTCTAGCGATTATTCGCTTATCAGTTCCTAGGTTCCTCACTTCCAACATTAACTTAGAATTTCAAGTGAGGAACCTTACAAT